TGTTATAACTCCAAACTAGGACTTACATGAACCGGCACCCACACCAACATTCTTCTCCTGCAAGCAGTTTCCTCTGCAGTTAGCACAGTTCTCATTGTGTGCATTTATCTGTCTGTGTATCACACAGGCAATTCCCACTTGTGACACCAGGTTTAATCGGTAAACGAATCGCCGATGCAACGGAAAGTTCCCCACGACTGCTGAAGGTAGTAATAGGGAACGAGATGGAGAAGACTATTATTCTCAACAACGCATTCAAGATCAAGAATAAAAAGCTGAGAATTAGGCCAGACTGGCCTTTGGAAGATAGAATTAGGAGAAGAGAAGCAGTGGTTGAATTAAAGGCCCGATTAAAAAAAGGTGAAAAAGATCTCAAACTGTTGGGTTTTCGGGTAGTGAGGTCTCGGAAACCTATGTTGCCCGGACCTCTGTTCATAAGTCAAGTGAACACATAGGTCTCTCGGTATACTACACGAACGCTTGTGGTCTTAGGAATAAGCTTCCCGAACTAGGAGTGTTGACTGAGGAACTACAGCCGGATGTGATTGCTATCACCGAAACTTGGTTTTTAATGGGTACAGACTTAACTCCACTCATACCTGAGTACATATGCATTAGAACAGACAGAGTGAGTGGTCGGAAAGGTGAGGGGTCTCTCTATACATCCGAGATGACATAGGAATTAGGTCAACGTGATCGGAAGCTCATGACAGTGGCACCTGTGAAGCCGCAGGTTGTGTCATTATCTTGAACAAAGGCACTGTAACGATAGGGGTTATTTATAGAATTCCTACCAGCCAAGCTGACAATTTCGTTATAAAGCATCTCAGGACATGGAATAGAGAGAATAGGTGTGTAATGGCAGGTGATTTTAATGCCCCGCATATTAATTGGGAGGAATTAACATCAGAAACTTCTTACAATTGTTTCAACACGGAACTAATACTGGCAGTACTTGAATGCGCACTTGTGCAGCATATGGATGCACCAACACGATACCATCCTGAACATGATCCATCCACTCTAGACTTGGTGTTAACACACCAGAAGGAGGATGTCAGCAACATTAGGTGCCTAGCGCCGCTAGGCAGTAATGACCACATAGTTATTACTTTTATGTTCAGGATCCAGGCCGTCACACATAGGTCAACAACCGCCCGCCCAAACGTTTGAAAAGCGAATATACCTGCAATCCGAAATGCAGCAACCCTAGCTGACTGGTCTGTTAATAAACACCAGACTGTCGAGGAGGCTTGGATGGGATCTAGGAACATACTAGAGTGCGTCACTGCACCCTTTGTACCTGGGTCTACGCTTCGAAAATTATCTCATTTACCACCTTGAATTATTATTATTATTGTTTCCTCTAATTCCTAGAGGAACATAGGGCTTCAGCCGTCCGTCTCCATTGCATTCGGTTCTCTGCTAGAGTCTTCACCTGGCTCCAAGTCTGTCCACACGTTTTCATCTCCTCTTCACATGAGCTTCTCCAAGTCACCCTTGCACTGACGACCAACTCGCCGCTTCCCTTTCGGGTTCCACTCGAGCAATGACTTGTCTAGTGATGTCACTTGATGGTTTCCTCAGAGTATGGCCAATCCATCTCCATTTCTTCCTGCCTATTTGTTTCACAATCGGTTCCTGGTTGGTTCGCTCATTGCCAGAGATCCCTGTTGCTGATCTTTTCTGGCCGGCCATCTGATCGTGAGTATTGAGCGAAGACAACTGTTAATGAAGGTCTGTAGTTTGTTTGAGATGCTCTTTATGACGCGCAGTGCAAGTCTCTGATCCGTATAGTAGCACTGACTTCACATTGGAGTTGGAAATCCGGACCTGATTTTTGATGCTGAGTGCTGTTGACCTCCACACAGACTTGAGAGTAGTGAGAGGTTATCTTGCTTTTCCGACTCTTGCTTTGATATCCTCGTCAGTTCCGCCTGTAGGTGAAACGATGCTTCCCAGGTAGGTAAAAGAGGTTGTTTCTTTCAGGTCCCTCCCATTTATGCTGATCGTTGTCTGTTGTTGTTGTTCTTGTCCAGGAATCTTCATCACCTCTGTTTTCTCCATGTTCACCTGAAGTCCTATCTTTGATGCTTCTTCTGCCAACTTGTTGCTTTTCGCTTGCATATCTTCCAGTTTGTGGGAAATCAGACATATATCATCCAGATCCTCCAAGTTTTTTGTGTGAGTCCATTTTATGCCTGTTTCCTCATTGCCCGCTGTCTGTCGCATTATCCAGTCTACTGCAATCAGGAAAATCATTGGCGATAGTAGGCAGCCTTGTCTTACTCCTGTCCTCACTTCGAAGGGTTCCGTAAGTTTCCCGTTGTGGATTACTTGGCATGCAGCATTGTCGTACAGGTGTTGGATGAGACGTATAATTGTCGGTGGCACCCCGTAGTAGCGGATTAGTTGCCAAAGCACCTCTCGATCGACACTGTCGAAGGCCTTTTCAAAGTCGATGAAGTTGAGATAGAGAGGTGACTGCCATTCCAAGCTTTGTTCAATGATGACCCGTAATGTGGCGATCTGATCAATGCATGACTTGTTTCTCCTGAATCCAGCCTGTTCCGGTCGAAGTTTTTCATCCAGGGCATGTTTGATTCTCTCCAGGATGGTGCGGCTCAGTATTTTGCTTGGGGTGGACAGGAGCGTAATTCCGCGCCAGTTCTTGCATTGACTTAAGTCTCCTTTCTTTGGTAGTTTGAATAAGTATCCTTTCTTCCAATCCTCGAGTACTTTGCCCTCTTTCCACGCCTTCTCCAGCAGTGGCGTCATCAAGTCCGCTGTTGTCTCTGGGTTCATTTTCAACGCTTCTGCTGGGATTCCATCTGGTCCTGCTGCTTTCCCAGCTTTTGGCATCTTGATTGCCTTCAGGACTTCTGATTTCGTCGGCGAGTCGGTGTTCACTGGTAGCTCTGTCTCCGTTGTTGGCATTGTTGGGCGCGTTGTAGGTGGTGGTCGATTTAGGAATCTTTTGAAATGTTCATCCCAGTGTTTCCTTTGCTCCACTTCTTTGGTCAGTGACTTTCCATTGTCGTCCTTCACCGGCTTAATTTGTGTGCATTATCCAAAAAGACTGTACTCATATATCAAACGCAGGACTTAAAGTAGTAGTGGCATACCGTCCCTCATTAGCAACACAGGAGAGACTGCCGAGTCAGACGAAACAAAAGCTGAGACACTCTCCGAATACTTCTGTTATGTTTTCTCGCCTAATCGTACCACCCAGGGGTGTAGCGAGGTAACTGATGTAGCCCTTAGAATTCCCCCAATTGTGGTAGATGATGCAGTGGTTCTGAAGCTACTGTCTAAGTTGAAGCCAGGTTAATCACCTGGACCAGACGGACTCCGCCCTAGATTGCTAATCTCCCTGGCGGATATAATATACATTCCACTTACGGAGATTTTTCAGATGTCTCTGACCCAGGCTAGGCTACCCAGGGACTGTAAAGATGCTTTTATAAGCCCCATCTTCAAAGATGGGAACAGGCAGTTAGTATCTTACTACCGGTCTGTAAGTCTGACCTGCATTATAGCAAAGGTTTTAGAAAACTCACAAGGGGCCAGCTCTTAGCTCATACGGAAAAACATGGCTTACTGGCAGTTGAACAGTATGGATTCCGACCAGGACGATCCTGCTTATCAAACTTACTGTTAGCTAGGGAAGATTGGGTCGAGGCCAGGGATAAAAACCATGTACTGGACGTTGTATTTATCGATCTTAGTAAAGCATTCGATAAGGTATCCTATTTAGGTCTTCTTAGTAAACTTAAACATTTTGGATTAGACCAACGCTTATGTGAGTGGTTTAGTGACTACCTGATGGATAGGAGGCAGAAGGTAAGAGTTAATGGTGTACTGTCAGGGTGGAAAGCAGTACTAAGTGGAGTACCTCAGGGAACTGTATTGAGCCCCCTGCTATTCTTACTATACGTAAATGAATTGCCGAAAATTCTCACCTCATCTTCCTTATAATTTGCGGACGATATTAAGATATGGAAAACCGTAAATAGTAGCGATGATAGGTTGGTACTACAAAACGATCTAGACAAATTAGCCGAATGGGCTAACCTTTGGAGTCTGGAAATTAATTCCAAGAAAAGCGCGGTAATGCACCTAGGTCAGAAGTCCTACACGTCGTACTCCATGGGGGACACAGAACTGCCAGATGTTAGGGAACAAAAGGACTTAGGGATTATTGTTAGCCATGACTTAAAAACAACGGCAAACTGTAATCGAGCCGCAGCTAAGGCTTTTCGAATGCTATGGGAACTTCAAAGGGCTTTCAAACGATTAGACGAGGGTATGTTCCAAGTACTCTATGCAACGTATGTCAAACCTCATCTAGAGTACTGCATACAGGCGACGAATCCATGCTTCGAAAAGGAGGCACATACCCTGGAAAGAGTACAGAGGGTAGGAACGAAATTAGTTAGTTGTATCTCACACCTTCCTTATGACATGAGGATGGAGCATTTAAATCTCTTCCCATTATCCCACTGAAGGAGGAGAGGCGACTTTACTTTGGCTTACCGTGTATTCAAGGGTGATTTAGGGACTGAGCTTTCAAACCTTTTCCCTCTTTCTAGGAAGAAGGTGCTCAAACCGAGGTCGAATAAAATACGTTTGGAGTTTAGATTCTCTCACAGAGTGGTCAACGACTGAAACTCAGCTGATTCAGTAGTAATAGCTCCATCGGTGAACGCTTTCAAAGAGAAACCGCATCTCTGCAGAGATATATATAACGAGGATTAACATAGGCAACAAGAGCCTTCTATCCTTATAATCTGAATCTGTAGTATATCTGTTTCATGAATATTAACTGAAGTATCTAATTTAACAGAAGTGAAACAATGCGGGTGCACTATTAAACTGGACTTTTGAGAGTTTGAACACTGAAAAATATTTTTTAGTGGTTTTAAAATAAATTTGTTATTGTTCACTAATGATGTGCGTTGCAACCTTCAGCGCCTATTCTAACGGGGTTACAGTGAAGTATGGTTTCGGAGTGAGTGTTTATTGTTATTGTAAAGTATTTCATTTTCTGCTATATCGTCGTGGTGCTGACTACTAGCATTTAAATTGTCTTTCTTTACAGGGACCAAAGAAATGCTGCTACTTTCATAGCACAGAAAATAAAGATAGATGAGTTGATGAACATGGAAATGGTGAAAGGAGATATATGGTATCACTCTGAAATGCTGCTAACAGGTTTTTAGGTACATCCTTTCTATTAGCTGGTGGACAAAGTGGGAAGGATTTGTAGACCTAGTGTCCAAAAGTGGGATGGTAGACGAGACTTCTGAAGAGTATCCAGGGTCGGTTAACAATAGTGATATATTAAGTAGGTCGATTAATAAATGTTCTTCATTTCAACCCAGGTGGTGGAAAGTTGAAAGAAAATTTACTCCTGGAGAATGATATCACCCTGATACCCGAAGATGCCTGGAAATTGTTTGTCGGTTTTTATGGTTGTGTGCATTCAAACACGTCTATTTTTGAACGTCGTGCTATCCAAGCACCAAAATCTGTAGAAGTTGAACTGTATCCACCCCACTATTCGTTTTACCTGAATTCCACGAATTCCAGTGCCACATTCATCTTCGAAGGAACTTATTGCAAATTTCAGACAATACGTACGTTGTGCTACCTTACAACTATTCTTTAGGAGACCTGAAATTGTTGGTTGCACAGCACCTCAAAACTGCGTCGGGTGTAAATATTCGACTGCTGATACACAATGAAAGAAGCGAATTCGAGGAACTAGATGAAGATGATGCAACCATAGAAGAGGCAAGCTTGGAGCGCGAAAAAGTAAGATCTTAGTAAGCCACGATTTTAGAGTTCTATGAATATTACTTATGCGATTTTGTAAAGACCTAAAGGATAAAAGCAATGGCCTTGTAAACCTGATAATCTATGAGTATTTCAGCGTTCACTTCATTCCTGAAGCTCCATGTAGATGAACGTTGCAAACTACATATGCCAACAGTTATTCACTTTTACCTAGACGTTAGTTGTCGGTTTGTTATTACTGAATGTCCCCACAACTCCATTGTTGTTAGAATTATTATAGATGGTTGAGTTTTTAAACATGCCTAATGGTTTCCTGTAGGTATCATAGAAACTGAGAAAGCTCACAAAAGCCGGTGTGTTGCCTACTATAGAGGTGTGCAGCAGTAATTCTTAATCTGAAAAAATTTGTAACATACATCACACTAGCAGTCGGTATGTAATTAGTCGGGAATTTTTTGTAGCTTTGACTGAAATGTCAGGGGGAGTTTTAATAATTAATAGTCGTTTTTGGGTCAATAATGGTGCCACTATTTCACGACAAGAATTCCGAAAAGCAGTTCTACTTTCCAACATGCTGACACTAATTTAACCTACAAAAGATACTTTTAATGTTGGTTTTATTTTATGTGCATATCACATCATCCTAGAACTTGTCTTACGTAACACAACGTTTTGCTTGTGTTTGAAAAAAATGCTATGTCATGATCTCTTCTTTGTCTAGGAAGTAGTGTTTTCTTATTTGTAACTTCCATCCGACTGGTTTTAACACACTTCAGCCAGTTATCGCAACTTCGTCACATGTGTGTATAGCTTGGTTGTTTAAGTGTTTGATCTATTGATAATCTATTCATATGTATATCCTTGCTCTAAAATGTTGATGTACAATTCTAGTATTCACTATATTTTGAACACTATACATGGAAAAGTTCCTATGATTATTCGTCAGTAATGTTTTTAATGCACTTGATATTGTTGTTTCATTATTATAATCAACATTGTCTGACTGACTGGTTTCAACGTAGAATTTTGCACCGGTGTGCAGCAGTTCGAGTCGCCACACTTCACTCGGCACACAAAGCCAGAGAAGAAGAAGAAGAAGAAGAAGAAAATAGAAAGAAACACAAAATGGAGACAGTAAAGAGAGATATGAGGCAAAATGAATGGTAATATGGAAGAACCATACAGTTGTATTGGATATTATAAGTCACAAGGAGTGGATGCATCTGCGCCAGCCACTGCGAACGATTTTGAGCCGTATCACCAATTGTCTCCATCCATTGGTGTTTACCGTCCCGAGGACCCCAACCAGTCAGGAAGTCTACGGCTTCCTACGTGGCTGGCTGGCTTAAATTAACTGTCTTGTATTTCATTGACTGATGAAGCCATATTTTGGTTTGACCACCACTGGCTCTTTTCCAACCTCATCTATCCTATGTCAGCTAACATTGCTCATCGAGGAAGTCGATGGCTAGTCATGCATGTGTAACGCATGTTCTAACCATCTCAGTCGATGTAGCTTTACAACCTCGTCTATTGATTTCCCCTCCTCACCTAGCACTGGACGGATGCCTAAGCTCAATATTGCTCACCTTATTATACCTCTTCACACGGGAGATAGAACACAGGCACATATGATCAAAGACAGCTAGTCTTTTCATGTCTTTCACTCCCAATGGCCAGGTTTCACAGCCATAAAGGAGGACGGAGTGGACTGCTGAGCAGTACTCACGTCCTTTGGTCGATAACCAGCCGGATATCACGTCTACGCCAGAGATGGCGTAAAGTGGCGTATGCGGACCGAGCCTTCTGTACCCGTGCTGAGATTTCGTCAGCGATCAACCCGTTGGGGCTGATGCAACTTCCCGAATAAGTGAAATGATCAACGCGCCCTACTACTTCACTCTATTTCTAAGCTACGGATCAATATATTCCAGTCCCGTAGCGATCAACATTCTAGTCTATGTAGAAAACCTTTTTTCCATCAGAAGTACCCAAACAGATCAGTTCTGTATCATTTTTTCCGCTGTAATGAGTACAAATAATTCTTGTGTCCTCAAATAAAACTTTCAAAGGACATTTTCGTCTTTTTCTGTGTGCGTTGACCAAGATCTGCTGGCTGTGTGTACAATTTGTTCTCCAAACTATGTGACTCGACGCCAGCGCACCTGCTGTGCTTCTTAAATGTTAGGAGTCATCTGGCACAAATGCTTAGATGTAGATATGCTTATCAATACTCAACAAGGTCTGTATTTTCATATACCTACATGAATATTTGAGGTAACTTGTAAAAATTTAACATTTCTTAGCTTCAAATCTGTCTTGTAGTGATGCTTATGTGTCGATAATCAGTCGCAATGAACTGTTGGTAGTTTCCTGAAAATCTGAAATTCTTGCTGTTTGCAGCTTCCACTTAGACTATGGGTGCTGATATCATCTCTCCATGAGTTGAGTTTTCATGTCAATGAATGTGAAATAACGTCATTGCATTATGCATGAATTTACAATGAATCGCAATTTGTAGAACAGCTGTAGATATAATCAAGAAAATTTTTAATGAAAAGCCTCAATTATGTTGCTAGTCTTGATGTGTATTATTTTTCCAACCTCCAGGTTATTTACGTTCAACTGGAACCCAGAAATGGAATTCACACTGAGTAAGTAACAGGTCGCTGACCTGCTTGATTTACCTGGAAACTTCGTAATTTAAATTCTGCGGTATACAAAGGTATTTGCTGACTAGATTCGTTTAATTCCTAATATCTGGTGAAACGTCGTCTACCTTCATTTACGAAGAGACAATGTTGTGTTAAATAGAGATTATCAGATACACTCCATGAGTGAAAATTCACTCATGTATATAAATGAAGTAAAATGTTGTATGAGTGACTTGATGTGGTTATGAGCAATAAGTTGTGCTTGAAACGTCATTAGTTAATATTACTGTATAACACTGTGTGATTTATCAAAATGAAATCTTATCTATAATGGAGTTATACTCTACCACAGTGTCCAAGTTTTATACTTATATCAATTATCAGATACAATTTTCGGAGACAGGTATCGATAATTTATTGGAAGTCGTCCACATATGAGACCAAATTATATATATATATATATATATATATATATACGGAAATGCAGAGTAGTCCATTTAATTATGTTTATTTCCATATAGATGAAGGCAATTTGGCGATTAATAAAACATTCGGCTTTTCGAAAAGTGTTAATTGTTTGTCTGTGTCAATGTGCACTAGTTTTGCTTGAGGTCCCTTTAGGTGTAAAGTCCCACAGCTTATGAAGTACTTTGAGTCACAATGGTCAATGCGCCCGAATAAGTTGCAATACACCAGCCGCAGGCAATAGTTAAGAATTTTATCAAACTGGTCCTGGTGAGAAATAGTGTGTCAATCAACAACTATCAAGTGCGCCTGAAGTGGTTAGCAGAGTACTTTTAAGAGAGATTCAACATCACTAGGATTGTCTATCATAAAACACAGAGCTCCGTTGTCAATGTGTATTGAATTACTGAAGCACCAAAAGTCATCTGGTTGGTTCTACTTAATTATGGCGGATTGAACTTTTCTTTGTCTTGAAATGAGGTTGGCATTGTTTCGGCCTATGTACTCTATGTGCCACAGATGGGTTTAATATGTTTTTGCCGTTTTTGACAAAATATTTTCGATATCACGCTTCGCGGTTTTGGCAGGACTCACGAGAAACCGAGTGGGTTTCTTTCATGTCGTAAGTCTAATGACCCTGGGTACACCTATTGTAGACCACTTTAGATCAACTCTGGCTCCATCATAAAGTTACTCTGAACATAATTGACTGACTGACTGATTTCAACGTAGAATTTTGCACCGGTGTGCAGCAGTTCGAGTCGCCACACTTCACTCGGCACACAAAGCCAGAGAAGAAGAAGAAGAAGAAAATAGAAAGAAACACAAAATGGAGACAGTAAAGAGAGATATGAGGCAAAATGAATGGTAATATGGAAGAACCATACAGTTGTATTGGATATTATAAGTCACAAGGAGTGGATGCATCTGCGCCAGCCACTGCGAACGATTTTGAGCCGTATCACCAATTGTCTCCATCCATTGGTGTTTACCGTCCCGAGGACCCCAACCAGTCAGGAAGTCTACGGCTTCCTACGTGGCTGGCTGGCTTAAATTAACTGTCTTGTATTTCATTGACTGATGAAGCCATATTTTGGTTTGACCACCACTGGCTCTTTTCCAACCTCATCTATCCTATGTCAGCTAACATTGCTCATCGAGGAAGTCGATGGCTAGTCATGCATGTGTAACGCATGTTCTAACCATCTCAGTCGATGTAGCTTTACAACCTCGTCTATTGATTTCCCCTCCTCACCTAGCACTGGACGGATGCCTAACCTGAATACTGCTCACCCTATTAAGGTGACCATAATAGGTTGGATTTTTAACGATGGTGCTTTCAGATCTACTTATGGTGTGTGAAATCCGGCTCTACTAAACTGTTAATGTCCGGTTTTCTTGTAGTTGACTACCAATTTCTACGTAAGAGCACTTGCTTCAGTCATGGATATCATTTAGGTAATTTTATTGACACTTGTTTGTAGCCGATACAGAGAATGCTAAGTGCCTTCTGGAATACACTGAATGAGAATACTTGCTTGTTCGCCTTATTTTTGCCTAACTATCCTCACTTTTGTCTTTAGATTTTTACGTTTAGCTCTCTTCCCGAAGTCATACCTCATTTAGCTTACACTTTATTAATGAAATGAAAATTAAGTGCTATCGTCTGTTTGACTATCGTGGAATTTGCTGTTGATGTGATCAGGTGACATTCCTTTGTATTTCAGCCGAACAAAACTATGCATAAAGTATTTCTTCAGAGCCATATCGTGTTTCACTATCTTATACTACCATGAGATTTATGTAAGACGTGTCTCATCTAGTACATAATCTTGTGCTTGGTAACCACTTTGCAGTAGTGGTTGTGATTAACCCCTGTATTCATTTTTGTCTTACTATTTTTAAGTGATATTTTAATGTATTATGATTTTTGTGTGTGTCACATTCCTCTCATTCCAGGACACGTGTGGATAGTTCACTCATCAAACCAATTGATATATCAGGGGCTCGATCTGGATCTCAAATGTTATCTTTACATGGATCTAGTGCTCAGATAGTACCAGGAGTTTGCGGTTTGAATAATTTGGGAAATACATGTTTTATGAATAGTGCAATTCAATGTATGTCAAATGTCCCTGCGCTGACAAATTATTTTTTAACTGGAAAATGGAAGTCAGAACTGAATGTACGCAATCCACTGGGATCTCAAGGAAGAATTGCTACTGCGTATGCTGATCTCATCAAACAACTTTGGTCTGGTACACGACCGTATGCTGTCCCTCGTGATTTTAAGGTATTTATTTGTTGAGGATATCTTCTGGCCCAAATTAAACCTGATTACAGATATTATACGGCAATTGAATTTTTTCACTTTTATACCCCTAACCTCTTTCTCTTGAACCAATCATCACTGCAGCTCTATAAATTCGTTTCTTTATTTTTATTCTGCTCTCAACATACTTTCCAATTTGCTACTATGAAGGCATAATAATTGCTCATAAACAACTTATCGCAATTTGGCTGGGGTAGATCTGTCCAAACTAATCGACCTACTCTTTTAAGTGAGTCTTGGATGCGTTTAGGTTGAGGCCTAGGAGTTAGTACTGTTATGAGTTGTGGTTTTTGTTTATTTCACAGGCGATTATGTAGCATTTTCCTTTTTTGAATTGGCGCTACCCCTATCCCGTGAGTATTAAGGTGTTTCAATAAGTAGGCTAAAATATACCAGCATGATTTCATGAAAATTCAATAATATACGTTCCACTTTTGACTTTACTGTCTCCATTGAATGCATTACATTCAGCAGATATCAGTATCTAGTGACGTTTCTTGATAAAAGTGCAACAAATGCAATGCAGTTCAAGAGTGTAATTCCACCCATAATATGTACACCAGGAAACAATTTTTAGTGTGAAATTTCATTTACGATGCATACAAGAAATATACCTTGTCATTAAACCACCACAGCAACGTACTTTGATGCTGCAGTTGGCCAGGTTGTGCAATAAAACAATGTGCAATTAATTCTTCATGGGACTGTGTTCTTTGTAGTTTCCATACGTATGAATGTTACCAGTAATTTAACATAATATTGATATCGTTTCATTTTCAGTTATAGTGTCAGTTAGCAGAGGTGAACTGTCCTACTGTATTAATGTGAAATCATGCTATCAACCACTGTGAGGCATAAAACTTCCTAAATAACTGAATAAGTTTACGTATTTAACCATGACAAACTACTAGTCGTCAGTATTCAGTTCGCCTGCTAAATTCACTCTTTCATACATCCGGTTCCACATTTTAGTTTATGGATTCTCTTCAACTGCACATACATCCTAAATAAATCAACTATATGTTACAAAATGGTGCCTGATCATGCCTAAAAGTCTCCGTTTGAAATGCAGCAAAGTTTTCTCAAGCGCAATTGCCAGACATCTAATTGACACGGGACATAAAGTGGAAATTAGTCAGTCCTTCAAAATAATCAATCAGCACACAAAAAAAGCATGGTTACTTCGGTTCGCAGAAGCCATTGTCATCATCAAAATACTTCGACCTGACCTATGCATACAGAAAGAGAGTGTAACTAATCTTTCAATACCCGACCTGCTAACCATAATTGTTTTGTTCGTATGCTTTTGTGTTTTGTTCTGTTGCATACATAACATTCCACTCAATCATGATTTTGATTTTCACTCACTGAGGTGAACTCACTGTTCAAGTTCCAAATCTCCTAAATTAAATTATTTTATCTAATTTATAATTTTACTTCACTATTCACCCCACCACCACCCTCGTGAATTCTCCACCATAATATGGATAAATTAACTCTCTGGTTGTATCTTGTATTTCGTCTCCACTCCATCCATCCTTCTTTTCAAGAGAAATCTGAATTCCATCTCTTACTATATAAATAGTTACTCTTGAAACACTAAATAATTGTCTACTTATATCATCTTGGAAATTAGGTTGCTTATGCTTATACTCTCTATCTATAACTTGAAGTCATTGTAAAAAGAAGTATGTTCAGAGACCATTTTGTAACATATGATTGATTTATTTAGGATGTAAGCAGCAGTTGAAGAGAATCCACAAAATAATACGAGCTCATATTATTCTGCAGCTATGTTCGTACTTTGACTTTGATCAGAACAGATATATTTGTAAACAAGACTAACGGGATGAAGCTTCTTCAGTGACAATGTTTGTCTTTGCTACTGGAGCTATCCCCTGATAACACTTTACCTACACAATAATTTCAAATTATTCAGTTTCACTGTCATCTGTATACTGGGTTGTTAAATTAATTTCTTTCCGTTTGAGTTTATTTGTCAAGTGGGTATTATTAAAACTAGCAGTTTAATCTTTTCATATGAGGAATTTTCATGCGTCCCAGTCAATCACTTCTAGCGTATTACTAGATTCTTCAGAGGAAACCTAGATCATGAATGCATGGTTTATCTGTTTGAAATTCTTCTCTTATTTAGCGTAAGTCATGATATATTGATTACTAGATCACATGACTGGTATATTTTGAGCAAACTTGTTCACAAGTACTATTTCTCACTCACTGCTTAAGTTTATAACATGAAATTCATGATTGAAGTTGGTGTATTTCTGATTCGTTTTTTGATATTATCATTCATAATCTTTGCATGTCTAAAGAAGAACAGCCTCTTAAATAGTAGACACACACCTTTCAGTGTGTATATATGTCTTAATTATCGTGCAAAAAATTCAAAAGTTATCTAAGCTTCAATGAGTTCAGCAAATAGTTTAACGCTGTGACTGGATAATAGACGGTTTAGTGTTTTAAGTAATAAATTTCATCTATGACATTAACTCCATAGGTTAATTTTTGACGGATTTTCATTTTATAGTTTTATTGTTGTTGATGAATGTTTAATTATTACTGAGGAGCTATTTTTATAGCTTTCTTGACCATATCTCTACTTATGAACTTCTTGAAACAAAACTTTCTTGCTAAACAATATACTTGTGTAGTGAGTGATCATACATAATCCCCAACAATTTTCTAAAGCTATTAGTTATTACCATGTGGTTCTATTAGGGGGTGGGGTAGGGTGGATAACCGTCGTTCATACAAAAGGGAAAACAATATTACTGAAAGAGCTTTAATGATTTCAGTCTTGTCATTTATTTGTCGTCTTGCGTACTTCTTTCACACTATAAATGCAAAGGGGAAAAATTAAGAATATGTAATATTGACCAGACTAGTTCTTCAGCCGTTTAACATAGGGTGGTGGGTGAAACTGATCGGAGTTTCGTATGAATAACTGTACATCTAGAGAGACATAAGGTGGTTTACCTCAATTATGAAGGTTTTGTGAATTCATTTCACAGTGACATTCAATTCTCATTTCTTAGTGTTCTAACCCGAAAACATGAACGCGCATAATTCGTGTTTATTGTTTTTGTGAGGGATTTGTTTTATACCTCTCTAGTTTCCTGGTATCATATCATTCTACTTTGACATAGTGAGTGAATTTGTATGTAGTATTCCAGTGAATCTCTTTCTACCAACTATTTTTTATTTTTCGTCTTTTGATATCAAAATTTTTAGATTGAAATTGCACGCATTGCTCGTCAGTTCTCTGGATATGCTCAACATGATACTCATGAATTACTTGTTTTCTTACTGGATGGACTACATGAGGATTTGAACAGAATTCAATCAAAGCCATATATCGAAGTTAAGGATTCCGATGGTAGACCGGATATCGTGAGTTTATTCACTTATTATTATTCCCTTGGGTTTGGAGTGGAACATAGGGCTTCAACAACACATCTCCACTTTGTTCTATTTTCTGCCGTCCTCTTCAGCTGTCTGACCCCTCGATTGCCTATAATCTCTCATCAAGTCCTCCCCACATGACCTCCTCCATTTCACCCTCACACTGATGGCCCACTCGTCGCATCCTATTGGGACTCCACTCGAGCGATGGCCTGCATTGCGCGCTATCTCATTCGACCGCCTCTCTAATGTATACCCGATCCATCTCCATTTTCCCCAACATATTTGTTGAGCAATTGCCTCTCGTTTGTTGGTTCGCTCCCGGCCAGAGTTTCTTGTTGCTAATTGTTTCTGGCCAGCCAGCCAGCCAGCGAAGTGAGCAGCTGTTGATAAAAGTCTTCAGTGGCTTCTTGGAAATCGTTTTCGTGACACGCAGTGCAAGTTTGTGACCCGTATAGAAGAGCTGAGTGACTGACTTGGCATTTATGTTCACTTATTGGCTCCACTAAGTTGACAGTTTCTAACATCACAGCATCTACTCTAAATCTTATCAACCGAATAGTAATTATTTTATTAAAACACAAACTTGTTACCTTATGGGTACTAAGAGATGCACCACATAAACTCCTTTAGTTTGTGCGAAGGCTAATAAACTACCCGGAGGTCTAGACCGAAGCAAGTGGTTGTCTTGAGGGGTCATCCCTGGGCTTGACATCCGACCCACAAGGCAGGGAGGCGACGACAGGAGCTACACTTCCATGGTTTGAAGTGACCAAATCACGTCTGTATGCCATTTAATCCTTTCGGAATCTTGGGACACATGTACATCATAGGTTTGAAGTCAGGGTTTTTCAGCCTTCCCTGATATACTAGCATCTTCATCAATACGATTGTAAGCGCCAGAGGCACATACTCTTTTTCACTTTTGTGAGGAACACTTCCACCACGTGAAGCCAATAGGAGTATAATTACTCATACAATGCATCTGATTTATGGCCTAGGTGTAATACAACATAATCAATGACATTATCACCTTTTTCTGACAGTTTTACTAATACAAAGACCCACCTCTGATGTTCAATTGCTCCGCAGTTTACGTAATCACGATCTCGCACCGATACTCCTAATGCGAATTCACCCTTCCAGTCATAACAAACAAAAGAACGTGGGTACTTATATACACCAGTGTAGATAAGTGTACACAAGAGTTTAAGAAAACTATACACTTCACGCATACCAAACTATGATGACGTTCGTGTCCATAGCACTTATTCACACTAGACAACAAAGTTTTTCCTACATTTCTGTTTACATAGTGTAGTAGTAGTGTGGTGAGAGCAAGCTGCTAGCCAATTGGTAGACATTGATCTACGCTGATTGGTGGAAATTAATCTAGGCTGATTCAACAACCGATCACAGCTGACCTAGACGTGGACAAATATGATTCGCAGACAAGTGGCTCGCATTTCCGAGAAATATCGAAAACGAGAAAGCAGAAGACTGCGTTTGTTTGCAAACAACCAATCAGAAGACCGCCTTCTTTCTGCGGGCAGAAGCCTATTAATGTACGTAAAATACATATAAATACCTGTTGGTTTTTGTAATAAAACTGATCTGTTGCCTGGCCCTTGTCTTCTGTTGTTACAGTAGTAGTAGTAGTAATGGAAGAAATCTTGTAGACTGTGAGAATGAAGTGTAATCACACTTGGAATATAATGTAGGCAAATGAAATAAAATAATATACGTACCTTGCCTTGAGATTTTGATTACTACTGGAAATTTGAATTCCCCAAAGAACAAGAAGCAAAACGGTGTCGTTCTAACACATGTCTTGGTAGTGAATGCCAATAACTTATCCAAGATAAAAGTGAGTGAGAATTTACAAAATCTCAGCTTGTATATATGAACTCCACCAAAGTTTTTCTGTATGAAGTAATTCGGCGTTGTTGTTAAGTGAATGAATTACTAGAGGTAGGTGTGTGCGTTTGTGTGAATTACAAAGTGAAAAATATTTATCACATTTATTTTGACAATATTAGTTTGTTGAAGGAAGGTGTTAGATACATCCTTACCTATTACGTTGATAAAGCCATCAGCGTTAAATAGCGAAACATTGTAACAGAATAAGAGCTTTAATTCATTTTAGATTTTCCTGTTGATTGATTAGACCGAAGTGCTCAGTCTCAGGTAGACATGTCGGCTCCTTATGCAGATGCTTCGACGATGTCTGGTCATGTAAGTTGATTAATAAGATACGTTGCTTAAGAGGTGGCTGTCATGGTCTAATGGATAACGCTTTGGCATTTGAGACTGGGCACGGAGTTCGAGCCTTGATGGGAACACCATCACTGACTCACTGCGGAATGCATGTACATCCAGACGACGAGTCCCAATTAGGTTGAAATGAGCGTTATCCTAGATCCCACGGCTAGTCACCATCAACCAATCTAGTGAGAGCTTGTTTGCAGAAGTGTTAAGTGGGAAATTATAAAGACAAAATGTAGAATAATTATTACTATTAAAACTTGGACAGTTAGTTCGTGTGGTATTTGCAAACTTCCTTTCCAGTTGTACCACCTAACCGACCAATCACGACATTGATTGTCAAGAGATACAATCACACTATATTCATAGAGAATTCAAATGAATTCATTTCATAGAGAAATTGGCACTGAAGATGTTGTCTAAAAGGACAACGAAAGCTGTGCAATTCAATCAACCAGCTCAGAGAATAATAATAATAATTTGTCTTATTCCAAAACAGTACTTGTGATACAGAATGGAATTCTCAGTATTCTTTGAACACAACTAAGTCAAAATATAGAAATATCATTCCTACTGTTCTAATTGTAATTTGTAGAGATGCTCAAATTGGACCAAATTAAAGAATTTTTAAGATGAAGTAAAAGTATCCACTGAATAGCACTTGCATCTTTTTTTTTAAAAAAATATACCGTATTGTCAATGTTAGAGTTGGGTTTATCGTGGTAAACTGTTGATGTGACCGACTCCAGACAAGCGGATAGGTCATCCGGTGTTTAGAACACCTCAATCTGGTTAGAAAGCGTTGATGTTTGATTTCAGCAGTTCCCAACTATTTGTATCAATCAGTAGTATGTACCGTTTGACTAATCTGCTTGCTTTCTTAACTGTCGCTTGCGGCATCAAGCATGTCACATACTGTAACCTGAGTACTCTGGGTTTCCACAGAAAACCGGGCTAAATTTTCGCCTCGGACTATTTGGTATGCAGATGAGAAATTATATATTATTACTAAAGGATTGGAGCACGGAAGGCAGCTTCACCTGTAAAATACGAAAGAGCATACATATACAAATCAACTGACACGGCACACTGACGTACAAAAGGAAGAACACGAAGTTTGATCTCAACTGGTTATAATGCATAGCATCGTCAACGTAAGAGTGATGAAAACCTGAAGTTTTGTTTCTTGTTCTTTGGGGAATTCAAATTTCCAGTAGTAATCAAAATCTCAAGGCAAGGTACGTATATTATTTTATTTCATTTGCCTACATTATATTCCAAGTGTGATTACACTTCATTCTCACAGTCTACAAGATTTCTTCCATTACTACTACTACTACACTATGTAAACAGAAATGTAGGAAAAACTTTGTTGTCTAGTGTGAATAAGTGCTATGGACACGAACGTCATCATAGTTTGGTATGCGTGAAGTGTATAGTTTTCTTAAACTCTTGTGTACACTTATCTACACTGGTGTATATAAGTACCCACGTTCTTTTATTGCTTGTAACTGTTGTCGTATGGTGGTCGCGTTCGTACGTTGTGGTTTTCATCTGTATATCTTTCAGTGATTGTGACATTACACAAATTCTGTGCGAGGTCCATATTTTGTAGAAACTTCTTGTTGGCCCATTTTTCCTGTGTTCTCACTGCTCACAACCTATCACATGATCTAGTCCATCGGAATCATGAATAGCTTCATTTGTAAAGATTATTCTATGGGTTTCGGATTACTAACTTTCTCACGGTTTCTGTTGCATGCTTTGGCGTTTGATAATGCCTTTATGTGAATATGGTCCGTAATTGATTATATTAATTTTGATGTAGTTGTGTTCTCTGAGCTGGCTGGATGGTTTATTTGCGAAGCTTTCATTGCTCTACTAGGCAACATCTGCAGCGCATACTTCAATTTGAAGTGAGCTTTCAGATTTCTCCATGAATTTATAAGTCATCTCCTCTGGTGACTTTGAGCGTGAATGGTTGTTTTTGTGGATTTTCACACCCTCTAGGCTACTTTTATTGGTACTGATTGTTTCCTTGACCTGAAGTTTGACCCTTTGTGTGTGAGGTTTTCTTCTTATCGGTTGGTAAATTTTGTCTCTCTCGATGTGTCTATTGATTGACGATTCACTGGAATAACAGGCTTCTAAAAGTTCTCTAGCATTCTTGGTGTTTCCTCTATCTAGTATATGAACGTTGTCTCAGTCGAATATTGGACAGAGGAAGATCACCAGAGGGGATGACTTATAAACTCATGGAGAAATCTGAAAGCTCACTTCAAATTGAAGTATGCGCTGCAGATGTTGCCTAGTAGAGCAATGAAAGCTTCGCAAATAAACCATCCAGCCAGCTCAGAGAACACAACCATATCAAAATCATCCACCTGAGCCAGGAATCTCCATTGTATCTGATTATATTAATGCTTGAGGATCTGTTTTGCTGTAATTGACTGATTGTATGTGTATCTATACTTTTTATTTGAAGGAATTCGGTTTTAATTCAGATTCCGTTTCGTGTTGATATCATGCGAGTGCAGTATTCCATCCTTGATCTGTTTCGTCACTGCTAAAGTTCCTCTTGCTCTTCAAGCTTGTCTTTTTTAATTTTTATGACAGCTTGATTTCACACAGTATTTTGGTACAACTATGGAATTTTCAGCATGTGATATCGGTATCCCAAATTTAGCAAACCGACCACTGCTATCAGGTGTGCATCGGCCGGGGTTCGGACCCAGGACCCTGTGCATGGTTGGCGAGCGTCCTAACTGCTGTGCCACCAACGCACTAGTAAGAGTAGTAATTTATACACAGTACTAAGAGCTGGGGCGTCATAACACTTCATAAGGCTGTAACACTCAAAACCTATGTACAAATGGACATATAGTCGTATTCCATTACATGAACGGCGAATCACTGTATCAAATGTTCACAGCCCTACTGTTTACTACGTAGGTAGGTAGTCGCACTGTATCAGTTAAATACATATTCAAATGAACGCTTTGTAGACGAGTCTCTCATCTTCATTAGAGATAAAAGGTCAGTTCTAGAACTATTTTTTTATTGTTGTGTATTTATTTTTATATCCTTTATCGCTTCATCTTTGTTGCTTAATTAAGGAAGTAGCAAATGAAGCTTGGCAATACTACAAGTCACGAAATGACTCGATCATTGTAGATCTATTCCATGGACAACTGAAGTCTACTGTAATTTGTCCTACTTGTCAAAGAAAGTCGGTCACATTTGATCCGTTTGCATCATTAATTCTGCCTATACAAGAAATATGCAGATATACAGTGCGTGTTTATGTCTGGCCATGGGTATCTAACAAACGTCAACTCACTTTAGTAGAATTGACAGTTCCGACTATACCTTGTGCTCAGAATATAACAGAAGCTCTTGAACAAGAACGTCCACTACATCCAGGCTGTCAGGTAAAATGTTTGCAATATCTTAATTGTATCTTTCAGTTTTCCACTCTTTTTTAAATGGAAAACTAGTTGTTTTGGATTCAAACAGTACTCTGTTCTTCTACTCAGGCATTTAAGGTGTTCTTATGTCTCGTATCCTACTGAGGGACTTCAGTGTATTGTTATCAAGTAGATGAAATTGATCTAATCTTGAATGATGGTAACTCGCTCTGCAACTATACCCTAGTGTAGTGAATGGCAATTTTGTTGTCAAATGAAGACATTTTCTGATGTAATAACAATTCATTTCAGCTTCGCAGTGAGTGAATACATTTTTCGTCACTATCGGCTGTCAGTTTTAAAGATTCATCAAAGGATCGCGATTACTTCAGCAGGACATAACTGCAGCAGCAGCAGTTTAACTTCTGAATTTTATTTCTCTCCGAAAAAACTAAATGGAACATAAGTGTATAATTCATCGGTAGCCTGTAGTCCTAAAATAACCAGTTTTCTGTAAAAATAATTACAGAGATTCCAAATGTAGGCGGTTCATAAAAGAATGTACAAAAAAGGTAATAACTTTTATTTGGTTTTACAGAGTAAATTAGTAAGCGAAAATTTCCTCCTGAATTACATCTGACAGAATAACAAGTAAGTGTGAAGGTTAGTTAAAGGTAGACAGTTTGAGCTGATAAGGTGGTTACATATATATATATATATAATGCCATGCAGTCATTTACACTTTTAAGCATTCGACATTGAATTATACCATTGTGTCTAAGAGATGTTCATATTTCTTGACCATTCAGACCAGGCGTAGTTTGAACCTGTGAACATCTAACAAAAGGTCGAAAATGGATGTAGTAGATGCGCATGAATGTAAAATTATGAACAGTAACTGAGTTTGACGATGGTTGCTATAGTATACACATCAGTAATAATCTTTAGTTAAAGTTGGTAACTGTTGTGCGCATACAAGCCAGTCGAAAATTCATTTCCATTGTGGCGACTTGAATTGATTCATTTTTATGCTAACTTCTATGTAGATATTTCATTTAAGTTCAAAAGAGCTAAGTTGAATTAGTGTTTGTTTGGGATATTCACTTAATGTAGATTCCAACAGCCAGTCTCAACAATATGTAATAGACGAACTCTTGAGGTAAGGTTAAGATTAGTTGGTATGCGGTAGATAACTTTGAAAGACACCTGGTTTAACATCAATCTTGTATTCTATATTTCTCATAGTATATATGAGTATTCAGCTCGGGAGTCCTATATGAAATCTACAGTGAAATTAATCTGAATTCCTAAAAAACCCATTATCTAAAAGAGAATTATTTTAAATGTTTTAAAAATATCTCACACCGCAGTTAAAGGAAGAAAAGATTTATGAAACTGTTTTTCACACAAAACTGAAGTTAAAGATCTCAAACTTATAAAGCATGGAATCCAGTCTGTCTTGATGAGGCAGGTGTGCACTCCACTGACAGTGTGGACAAAAATTATTTTTAAAACGATAATCTTAAAGTAGCGGTTAAGTCGACTGATATATATATATATGCATAAGGTTCATAGGTGAATTTGTAAATTTCCTTGTAGTTTCTTTTGAAGTAAACCTTGTTATATAAATCTTTGGTATTCAATTTTACCGACAAAAATTGCTTTATTGGTTTCTTCCAGCAGGGAAGAAATTTTCTCTTACTTGACTTGTTGTTCTAATCAGTGATTTCATTGTCATAAGATTACACTGAAACGTATAACCTTTAAGTGGGAATGTGTCTAGACAGCTTAACAGAGAACTTGATTTGTTAACGGAAACTAATCCAATAAGTTTGTTCTATTTTTCCGCTAATCATTAATTAATTATTTAACCAGTTTCCTTCGTAATACTTCATCTTTTTATTTTTCAAGTACTACATACCAAACAAATCTTTTGATCGTTCAAGATATTCGCCTTCATTTGCATACGAGTTGACTGAAGGCTTTCCTATACCTGTCCACTGGATAAATGATAAGTAAGTGAAGTTTTAGGATGAGTAGCCTCCAAAAATTTATTTTAATTGTAGGATTCTGCTTTGATATCTGTGGTGTATGAACAGTTGTTATACTGTGTGAAATACTAATGAGTGATCATACCTGGTTCTCTAGAACCTCTGTGTAAAAAGGTCTAAATAAATTTGGGTAATAAGGCGGTATGCTAAAGAAAATCATCTGATGATACCTTAATTATCTATCCTCTGTGTGATAATGTTATATTACGAATCACTGTTTGTTATTGGTTAGTCTGAAATTTCTTTATCAACGTCATTTTTTAAAACCATACGGTTTTCAAATGTTACACATTTAATTCTATGAGTGTGTGTGTGTGAATGATTTTAAAGTAAGCGACATGATATTTTGAGGTGAACTGTGTGTGCGGAATTTGGTTGTCGCGAATACCTTCACTCCCTTTCTCACTATCAACCGAGTGTCTTCTTTTGGAACGTATTAGAAAATAACTAATACGAAATATATTGGTTTGCACGAATATACGTACGCATACTAAGTTATAAATTATCATCCAAATTATTATTATTATTACTCCCTTGGGTTCCTAGTGGAACATACGGCTTCAACTGCACGTCTCCACTTGTTTCTGTCTTCTGCTGTACTTTTCACCTGCATCCATGTTAGTCCATACTGTTTCAACTCCTCTACACACGATCTCCTCCATTACTGTCCCACTCGCCGCTTCCCTTTCGGGTTCCACTCGATGGCCTGAAGCGCGATGTCACCCAACGGCCTCCTCAGCGATTGTCCAATCCATCTCCACTTTCTCCTCCATATTTGTTGAGCGATTGGTTCCTGTTTTGTTTGTTCCCATAGCTTCTTGTTTGTGATTCTTTCCGGCCATCTAATCTTCAGTATGGAACGAAGACAGTTGTTGATAAAGGTCTGCAGCCTGTTGAAAATATTCTTGGTGACCCGCCAAGTTTCTGATCCGTATAGCAAAACTGACTTGACGTTTGTATTGAAAATCCGTATTTTGTTGTTGATGCTGAGTGACGAAGATTTCCAGATTGGTTTCAGGTTGATGAATGTGTTTCTCGCCTTCCCGATTCTCGATTTGACATCCTCGTCCGTTCCTCCTGTGGTTGAGACCATGCTCCCTAGATAAGTGAAAGAAGTAACCTCTTTCAAATCCCTCCCGTTGATGGTGATTGGCGTTGGATGTTACTGCTGTTGTTGTTGGTTGGTTATTTTCATAACCTCCGTCTTGTCTATGTTCACCTGGAGTCCTGTCTTTGCTGCTTCTTCGACCAGTTTGTCGGTTTTCGCTTGTAAGTCTTCGATTTTGTGTGACATCAAACATAAATCATCCACGCGCGAAATCCAGGTCTTCTAGGTTCTTCACGTCGGGCCACTATATCCCTGTCTTCTCGTTTCCCACTGTCTGACGCATAATCCAGTCCACCACAATTAGGAATATCATTGGTGATAATAAGCACCCTTGTCTGACTCCTGTGTTTACTCCAAAAGCCTCGCTGAGTTTTCCGTTGTGGATCACTTGACATGTGCCGTTGTCGTACAGCTGTTGAATAAGGTTGATGAATATTTGGGTACGCCGTAGTACTCGAGTAGTTTCCAAATTACTTCGCGGTCAACGCTGTCGAAGGCCTTCTCAAAGTCTATGAAGGAAGTTGAGGTAGAGGTTTGATTGCCATTCCATGCTTTGTTCTGTGATGATGATGCGTAGAGTTGCAATTTGGTCAGAACATGATTTGCCTTTCCTGAATCCAGCTTGTTCTGGTCGGGATTCTGTATCCAGTGCGTCCTTTATTCTCTCCAGGATGATGTGACTCAGAATTTTACTTGGCGTCGACAGGAGCGTGATTCCTCGCCAGTTCTTGCAGAGTCCTAAGTCGCCCTTCTTTGGTAGTTTCACGAGGTAACCTTTCCTCCAGTCAGTAGGCACCTTTCCCTCTTTCCAAACCTTTTGCAATAATGGAGTCAGCATATCTGCTGTCGTCTCTGGGTCCGCTTTCAGTGCTTCCGGGGGTATTCCATCTGGTCCAGCTGCTTTTCCAGCTTTAAGAAGCTTGATTGCATTCATGACTTCAGTTTTCGGTGGAGGATTGGTGTCAACTTGCAGTTGTGTACGTGCTGTTGTTGGTATTTCTGGACGGGTTGCAGGTGGTGGTCTGTTCAAGAGTCCTTTGAAGTGGTCCGCCCATTGTTTAATCTGTCTTTCTTCCTTGGTAATTAGGTTCCCTTGGCTGTCTTTTATAGGTTTCAATTGTGTTGATCTCTTCCCGGATAGAGACTTGGTTATCTGATATAGTGTCCTCAGGTCCCTTTTGCCTGCTGCCTTCTCAGCTTCAGTGGCCAAGTTGTCGTAGAATTGTCTTTTGTCCTTCCTGGCACTCTTCTTCACTTCTTTGTCTTTGTCCAGTGGAAGTTGAGCTCGGCGTCTCTTTCTGTTGTCCATCTTTGCATTGAATCATTTTCTCTTTCACCATTCTCCTCTACTCTATTAGCTTCTAAGTATCCGTTGAGAGCCATTCCTTGTCTTGTCTCTTCTTTCTTCCTAAAACCGTTGAGCACGTTTCGTTGAAAATTACCTTCAGAGAGTTCCAATGGTCTTCCACGGATGATTCCTCAGTGGTGCCACGTAGTGTTTCCTGCTTTGCTCTGACCGTTGCAGTGAAAATGTCCTGTGTGATTGTGTCCTTCAGTTTTTGAGTGTTGAACTGGCATTGTGGCCTATCCCCAGCTATCCTCGAGGCTTTCAGCTTCACCTTGAAAGTCCGTTGTACTAGATAGTGGTCTGAACCCACATCTGCTCCTCTCCTCGATCTTGTGTCTAGTAGGCTCCGTCTCCACTTCCTTGAGATTGAAATGAAGTCTATCTGGTTTTTGGTGTGTCCATCTGGTGAAATCCATGTTGCCTTGTGTATATCCTTGTGTTTGAACACACTGCCGCCAATCACCAAATCATTGAAGGCGCAGAAGCCTGAGAAGAGTTCACCATTGTCGTTCATTTCACCGAGGGTCTTGCGACCCATGGTGAGTTCTCTTCCTGTATTGTCTCCTCCCAGTTTCGCATTCATATCACCCATCAGGATTTTGATATCGCTCTTTGGGACGTTGTCCATTACTGCTTGTAGTTGTCTGTAGAAGGCCTCCTTCTTCTTTTGTTCTGAGACGTTTGTAGGCGCATAGCATTGAATGATTGTAACCTTCCTTCCTTTTGAGTTGAACCTGGCTGTCATTATCCTAGAGGAGATTGGTTCCCACTGCATGAGAGCTTTGGCTGCTGTTGGTGACATTATGATGGCCACTCCCTCGGTGTGCTCGTGATCGTCCTCTGGGTGACTGGAATAGATTACTGTCTCTCCAGTTGATACTTGGCACCTTCCACATCCGTTCCATCTGCTCTCGCAGATTCCCAACACCTCTATTTTATATCTTCTCATTTCTGGGACTCCCTGGCAGCCTTTCCAGCTTCGTACATTGTACGAACATTCCACGTCCCCATCCTCTTTTTGCTTTCATCAAAAGGAGGCACATCGGCTGACTGGCTTCCCGAAGGCTTTCACCAGCCTGCGTCATTTCACTTCCCCGATACCAGCGAAAAATAAGGTTATTGTTTGTATTTTTTTAGAATTTTTATTATATTTGTGCGTTGAAGTTTTCGTAGCAACTTGGTTAAGTTTTGGGGGTGGAGTTGTTAGCACCACGCCCTAACCCCCCTCTTTATCTGGGCTTTGAACCGGCTGAAAAACTAGCGAGCTATTGATCTAGATGAGGTTTATCATCCAAATAATAATCATTATTCCCTTGGGTTTGGAGTGGAACATAGGGCTTCAACAACACATCTCCACTTTGTTCTATTTTCTGCCGTCCTCTTCAGCTGTCTGACCCCTCGATTGCCTATAATCTCTCATCAAGTCCTCCCCACATGACCTCCTCCATTTCACCCTCACACTGATGGCCCACTCGTCGCATCCTATTGGGACTCCACTCGAGCGATGGCCTGCATTGCGCGCTATCTCATTCGACCGCCTCTCTAATGTATACCCGATCCATCTCCATTTTCCCCAACATATTTGTTGAGCAATTGCCTCTCGTTTGTTGGTTCGCTCCCGGCCAGAGTTTCTTGTTGCTAATTGTTTCTGGCCAGCCGGTCGGCCGGCCATTTGATCTTCAGTACGGAGCCAGCCAGCCAGCGAAGTGAGCAGCTGTTGATAAAAGTCTTCAGTGGCTTCTTGGAAATCGTTTTCGTGACACGCAGTGCAAGTTTGTGACCTGTATAGAAGAGCTGACAGGCTGACTTTACATTTGTGTTGAACAGAATCCGAATTTTGTTGTTTATGCTGTCTGAGTGAGCGCAGAAGATTTCCAAACTGGTTTCAGGTTGATGAATGTGTATCTTGCCTTTCCGTTTCTGGCTATCTGACTGTGACATCTTTATCTGATGATGGTAATTAGCACTGGCTGTTGGTTGGTTATCTTCATCACCGTTTTCTATATGTTCGCGTGGAGTCCAGTCTTCACTGCTCTTTCAGTATCATCCAAAAGTAACTCTTTATTGGAAAGTATATCTAAAATGGTAGTCATTCACTTGTTGAGACGTCTAAATTTCGCTTCGGTTGGTTTTACTTGACCTCAATATTCAGTCGTTGTTCATATATAGACCTTTTAATATGGGTGCTGGATTCAAGTTTGTTGAATGGAACACCGTCAAAGCAAATACATGTATAGATTAGTTCAGTAATTACAAAATTAAAGCATTATTGTTTATCTTGTCTGTGGTAAAATGCACAAAAGTTATCAAGATGATAGTAGAATTTCAGTGAGTACGATGGTGTGCGTTGATGGTTAAATCGTAGGATGCCCATCAACCACGCAAGTGGTCCGGATGCTATTCCTGGCCAAAGCACTCCTAAACCTTGCCTAACGGGTATTAAGTCTGGAAAATAGGGAAGGTTAGGCTTGAAATTAACAGCTCCACCCCTTAAACAAAAAATAGCTATTGGCGCTTCTAACATACATCATATCACTTTCCACAGTTTCTCTTTCTTTTTGTAGATTGATAGGCCTATGGATTTTCACTGTGTGAAGTGTCTGTAAATACTGTGTAAACTGTAAATTAAAACGTATAGTTGAAGCTTTTGAATTGAATTGTACTTTACTGAGTGTATATTAAATCATTAACAGATGTTCCATACTTAGTTAAACTGTTTTTATTATCAAAGAGATCGTTTATTGCTGTACAAATGAAGTTAATTTTTTTTTAAAGATAATATTTTTCTGTAGATATTTTCAATCAAATAATTTTATCATTTATTTGTGATAAAAGAACATTCGTTATTTCATCTTATTTCAGCATTGGACAAGGTGTCAACTTAACATTCTACATTAGTGTGCCAATCAATGATAATATTACAGGAATGACAATTACTGTTTCCGAAGATTTACTCATCAAATATATAGTTGACCGTCTAAATGCTATTGGTGTAGACTGTAAGAAAACGGAATATTCACTTGGTGGTGAATTAACACAGCTGGATGATCGAAATTCTGGAGATCCAGGTGGTGGTGCTTCAGGCTCTTTGACCAACATTCATCCGACATCTACAAAATCATTTAATCCTTGTGAACAGTCAGAAGAAATCAGTGAACGTGTTCTAGATAATTTGTCTACATGCCTTAAAGGACGTTTATGTCTAAAGGATTCTCGTGGACATGATTGGCTAACTGAGTCAGACAGCAGTTTAATATCTCTTCCATGTAAGCATATTTTTACTTGTTAACAGGAAACCAGTACTATGAATTGAATAAGTTCCCATCGTTCATAATTATGTATTTTAAACTGAAGTCCATATTTTGTTGCTTAAAGTAGTACAAAGTTCATAAAAATGTTGATAATAGATATTTATTAAGTAACCGCAGAATAGATTTTGTCACAAACTGACGTCAAATTAGAGTAACAATGGAAACAAAGCAGAAGTGGATACAGTCCTAGCTAATCAGTCATAGCTGAGATCCATTTAAGTTTCTAACCGAGCACGTTAACTACCACTTCAAATCAATCAATTACCTACAAATATCAATGGACAACAGACCGCCTGTTCCATGAACTGATATTTTTTAATGGAACCACGCGCATGTTGTTTCTAACAGAAAACCAAGTCAAAACAAATCATCTGCGGTGCCAATTTTTTTCCTTACCATCAACATTGCCAGCTGTATTGATGTAATAATGTTATTGTATTTAAAAACGGATCACGCGACCACAGAGATTAGCCAATCGTAGCTATGCCTTACATTAATTGTAACATATGACTCTTTTTCGTGATGAACAATGCTGACGTTAACTACAGGGTTACAGTCATCTGAGGATAATCTACGTTAATCGTCACTTGTTTTGCCATTAGTTTGAATACTTTGTACAAAAACATTTCATGTATACATCCCCCTTCGGCAACCAATTAATTACTAATTTCTTCTGCTGGTCAAATTAGATTTGTATTGTTATTTTTAGAATTTATGAAACACTGATCTTTGACACATTTCTTCCTTTTGTAGGCTCTGATAATTATTACAGTATCATAATGAACTTGCAAGGTCTAGAAATACGACAACAACTCAATGATATTCGAAATCGTACACAGCACCATCCTATTACTCGAGTAAACCAAACATTAAAACTTTCAGATTGCTTTGAACGCTTTACTGATGTAGAACAGTTGGGCTCTAGAGATTTATGGTATTGTAATCGTTGCAAAGCAGAGAAGCCTGCTACTAAGAAATTCGATTTGTGGAAGCTTCCAGATGTTTTAGTGGTACAATTGAAACGTTTCCGATCCCACTTGCGATTTCATGATAAAATTGATACTTTGTTGGAGTTTCCACTAACGTAAGTGGACTTTTTCGCGTCATTTTTTAATCCACATGCTTGATTTATTTCTGTGAATAGTCAGTGGTGCCACAGAATATAGAAGCTTAATGACACCCTTTGACTTAAATTATTCAGATGATAAAAGATTAATACAAGCTGGAAAATCAAGGGTAAATCTGTTTTCATGTTTTCAGATAACATTCGTATAATTTTTTAATAATAATAATCTGCTTTATTCCAAAAGCAGTACTTATAAAACAAAGTGAAATTCTCAGCATTTGTCACAATATTGCATCTAATATACTCAAAATATAAATAAAATTGACCACAGGAATTTGTCCACATTCACAGTAGGAATAATATCAGAACTGTGCAAAGTATAAAATGAGAATAATAACTCTATTAATAATAACAACAGTGAGTTCGTTTCAAACGGTATTAACGATACAGCACGGAAATTTTAGCATGTTATAGAGTACTAAATCTATTGTTCTCTTGATATAGCATAGTGAAAGGAAAACAAAAAATAACAGTTATTATTGCAGTGCTTAAGCGATGTTTACACTTGAGGAAATAAACAAAAAGTAAGAGAATTGTAAATATGAGAAGAATAAAGACAGTAAAGCTTGGTGGAATAAGGATGGAGAAAATTGTTTATTTACTGGTGGAAAGAAGGTTAGTTGGTTCTTTCTTGACACTATTTTCATCACATAAAATACGTGCCACCAAATACAGTATCTTGGAATTTTCATACTTTGATGTGTGTGCATAAATTCTTTTGCAACGACTTCTTGTTATACCTGAGGAGACACAAGGTGAAAGCCGCGGATAAAGAGAATATTTCCAGTCTGACAAAATCCCTATAGCAAATTTGTCGCATGAAATCAAATCGTTATCAATGATGATGTCAACGATATGGCCCAAAGGGAAGCCACCACTCGCCATAATGTCAGTCTTCAGAGTCCTACACAGTTTGACATAGTCCTTTTTAAGCAACGCAGGAAATAATAAGGGTGAATAGAAGAGAGGAGTAGGTGAGATGCACGAATTGACAAACTGTAAGAAGAGGCGTTGAGATATACCCGAGTGCCTTAACTTCTTACTGTAAAAAGTCAGACAAAATACCCTTTTAGAAACCGCTAAGATGTGGGAGTACCAGGATAGATGATAAGAAAGAATTAATCCGAGGCACTTAACTTCAGACTTGATTTCTATATCAATATCATCAATTTTCCCATAGTCATAGGAACTAAAAGCTTCATTTAACCTTCTTTTACATCGGAAACTGAAATTAACAGTTTGACATTTGGAAGGATTTAGTTTAGGACCATTAGACAAAGACCATTTGCTGACTCCTGATAGAAAGCTGTTCATCTTAGCACAGTCTAGCTGGAAGTTAACAGACATTGAAATAGCTACATAGTCCGTTTACTTGACAAGGTTCATTTCATCATCAGAGTGAGGCAAGTCATGCAAGAAGGAAGAAAACAGAAAAGGAGGAAGAACAGCGCGTTGAGGGACGCCAGCCTCAGTAGGCAATGAATTGGATGACTTCCCTGGACATACAGTGTACTGCTCTCTTCCTGAGAAATAAGAGTGCAGCCAGTTGACAACCTAACAGTCAGTTTGAGTTTCAGCAAGCTTGTTTAACAAAATATCTCTTGGTATTGAGTCGAAAGCAGATGTGTAATCTAGGAAGGCGCAGCAAACAGATTTAGCCCCCTTGTCCAAACTGCAGATGATGTTATGATGTAAGACTGCAGCTGCATCTAGAGTACTTCTACTGTGTCTGTAGGCAAATTGTTTGGAATAGATAAGGGTTTTAAGTGGAGGTTCAAGATTAAGTAAGAGCAACTTTTCCATAGTTATACAAATAGGTCTAGATTTAACAAATGTTCCAGTAGATGACTTAGTTATGGGTACAATTTCAAAGTCCTTCCAAATGGCTGACACGACATTTCTGGAAAAAGATTCATTAAGCAAGTCAGTGAGAGGATAACATAGGATGTGGGCACATATTTGAGAATAACGGTAGGCAAACCACCTTGTCCTAGGAGAGGAGAAGGGTTCAGAGACTAGAGAAATTTTAGTGGGTCATTTGTACTGACACCAGGAAAGCAGCTTTCATTAACACTTGTGACACTAGAAAGCATGTCATTTTTGGGAGTATAAATTAAGAACTTGTTTAGGGTACACATCTTGGTTTAGCAAAGGTCCGAATAAAGCTATATGCAGCTCAACGCTAGCTCAAATCATCGATGCTGATTGGACATCAAATCGACTCTAACGCATTCTAATAGATATTCATACTTTAATTCATCTCATCCCTTAACTGTTAAGGCAGGCTTAGTTAAGTGTTTAACAAACCGAACAATGGCACTAAGTAGCACAAAAAAGACCTAAATGATGAGATAAAACAGATAGAAGAGGCGTTGATGTTAAATAACTATCCTTTGAAATTCATTAGGAAGATTGAAAAAGGCCAAAAGAATTGTGAAACTAGTAATAATAACATAAATAAGAGAGAATATAAGTCATCTACAGTATTACCATATAAAGAGGGGACATCTGAGACCCTACGTAGGATTCTAAATAAAGCAGGAATTAGGGTAGCATTTAAACCTACAAACTCACTCAGGGACAAGCTCGGTAGGTTAAAGGACCCAGTTGACCCAATTAGACAAAATAATATAATTTACAAAATACCCTGCAATGACTGTGAGGTCAACTACATAGGTCAAACTAGTAGGTCAGGGGTAGTCAGATTGTCAGAACATAAGAATTTAGCTAAGGTAAGAATGGTTGACCCAGAGAAGATAAGTAATTTAGAAAAAAGTTCAGCAATTGCAGTGCATGCATTAGCACACAACCACACAATAGGGTGGGAGAGGGTTAAAATTCCAAAAAGTAATCTAGGTAGGTGGAGAGAGAGGTTGATTCCTGAATCCTTGTTCATCGAATCTACACCCAACACGTGCAATAGGAATGATTCATCACTCATACCCGAAATATGGAAAATATTACTACCAATCAAATCAAGTGAAAAACAATGGAACTATATAAATGAAATTAGGAAGTCGTGTAATTACCTTTATTTGATTATGAGCAATAAATTGTGCTCGAAATGTCATCAATAAACATTACTGTATAACACTGTGAGACTTTATCAAAACAAAATTTACCCATAATGGAATGACTCTAACAAAGCTTTCAAATCACGGAATATACACTTTTAAAGTTATTTGTCGTATATCACGTAACCTCCCGCATGGTCCACTGGTACAACTTTTACATACATTAGAGGCAATCGGAATTCATCTGAACAAGCCGAATCTATGAGTTCAAAAGAAATTTGTACATCCCCTTTCTTTGCCATGGTCAACTACATAATATGAATTAAGTTTTTAAAACGATTTTTTTGTAAGCACCTTTTGACTTTGTTAATTCTTACAACTTTACCTAATTTCCATTGGCTTGTTTGTATTTTACGTAACTCTTACGAGTCATCCTATTCTTCTTAGTCATCATTGCTATTCTACAAATTTGTTGGTTACGTAATAACTTGTTGCTAACACCTAAGCATCAACTTATCTTGAATTTCGTTATTAATTTTCACCATCTACTAGTTGATTGTTTTGATGACCTTTAACCTCTGAATTTTACCCTCCTATATCTAAAACTTATTAACTAAAATAACCACTCGATTGATAAAAAATTTTGATTTAAAAAAACTATATATTAGTGTAGAGCGAGCCGATGATGAGAAACTAATTGAAAAGGAATATTTTCATACATTTGGTTCCCTTGATAAATTTCGATAGATAAAGAAAGACCAGATTTGCAGTATAAAATGATATCATTCTATTTCACAGGTTCTCATCAGCTGCAAACTACCTGAAATTACAATGGTTATAATTAATAACATTTCATACTTCATTGTTTGAAAGGTAATACAGAAAGCATTATAAGATAAACGCATCCGGAATATAAGGATTAAACTTTTTGTAGCTTAAGTTACCATCAATTTATATACTATCAATCTATGGCAAAAAGAAAGAAAAAGGGGGGGGGGGTGAGAGAAGACAGAAAACAGAAAAATCTAATAAACAGTGTCAACATGGCAACTCAACAAGGTCAAAGTTCATCAATTTGAAAACTTGCTTAGTGAGTTGAACTCACTGGTGTCTATGAGTAATCACTGTAATGAAAGTGATATGGTTACCAAGGGAGTGAGAGATTGACTACACTCTCTTTCTGTGTGCATAAGTTTGGTCTGAAGCGTTTGATTGCAATTGCTTCAGCAAATCGTAGTAGATTCGCTGTCCTTTGTATGTTTAATATTTTGAAGGATTTGGAAATCTCAACAAAATGGCCTGTATCCACAAGGTGTCTGGTAATTGCACTTTGTAAATATTTGCTTCCTTTTAAGCATAAGTTTCTCGGAATATGCTCTGAAAACCGGATAGAAGCCCTTCTTTCTGTCCTTCCGATGTACTTGCTGCCGCAGGTGCACGTAAATTTATAAATGCAGTTGGAGGTAACATCAGCAGGGTATTTATCCAGTTTCGATTGGCTTATAGAGCATGCAGTACTGTATAGTGTCACTAGATTGGCTGCAGGGAAGCATCTCTTGATTGCTCCTTTCATCCTTTTTTCAATCTTTCGCGATACTGTTTCTCCTTTGTATGGGAGGCAAATGAATACTTTCTTCTTTTCAACTGTTGGATGCTTCTCTTTCTCATCTCTTTCTTTGCTGTACTTTTGGATAAATCCTTTTGGATACCCGTTCTCCTTAAGGCATTTTTCAACGAAGCTTAATTCTTCTTCTATCTTGTTGGGCGAACATAACTTCTTAACGGTGGAGCGGTCGAAAAGTCCATCTACAGAAAAGAAACTTGGACCGGACAATACCTTCACTACAACAGCTGCTGCCCTATGAGCTATAAGCGGGGATTAGTAAGGACACTGTACGACAGGGTTAAGAAGTTATGTTCGCCCAACAAGATAGAAGAAGAATTAAGCTTCGTTGAAAAATGCCTTAAGGAGAACGGGTATCCAAAAGGATTTATCCAAAAGTACAGCAAAGAAAGAGATGAGAAAGAGAAGCATCCAACAGTTGAAAAGAAGAAAGTATTCATTTGCCTCCCATACAAAGGAGAAACAGTATCGCGAAAGATTGAAAAAAGGATGAAAGGAGCAATCAAGAGATGCTTCCCTGCAGCCAATCTAGTGACACTATACAGTACTGCATGCTCTATAAGCCAATCGAAACTGGATAAATACCCTGCTGATGTTACCTCCAACTGCATTTATAAATTTACGTGCACCTGCGGCAGCAAGTACATCGGAAGGACAGAAAGAAGGGCTTCTATCCGGTTTTCAGAGCATATTCCGAGAAACTTATGCTTAAAAGGAAGCAAATATTTACAAAGTGCAATTACCAGACACCTTGTGGATACAGGCCATTTTGTTGAGATTTCCAAATCCTTCAAAATATTAAACATACAAAGGACAGCGAATCTACTACGATTTGCTGAAGCAATTGCAATCAAACGCTTCAGACCAAACTTATGCACACAGAAAGAGAGTGTAGTCAATCTCTCACTCCCTTGGTAACCATATCACTTTCATTACAGTGATTACTCATAGACACCAGTGAGTTCAACTCACTAAGCAAGTTTTCAAATTGATGAACTTTGACCTTGTTGAGTTGCCATGTTGACACTGTTTATTAGATTTTTCTGTTTTCTGTCTTCTCTCACCCCCCCCCCCCTTTTTCTTTCTTTTTGCCATAGATTGATAGTATATAAATTGATGGTAACTTAAGCTACAAAAATTTTAATCCTTATATTCCGGATGCGTTTATCTTATAATGCTTTCTGTATTACCTTTCAAACAATGAAGTATGAAATGTTATTAATTATAACCATTGTAATTTCAGGTAGTTTGCAGCTGATGAGAACCTGTGAAATAGAATGATATCATTTTATACTGCAAATCTGGTCTTTCTTTCTCTATCGAAAATGAATATGTTTCTTCACTCAATCTGTTGTTTCTTTTAAATGCATAAATGGGGATTTGGAAATTACACATCAAACGAACAAGGAATACTGTTGATCTGCCTACCACCAATAATGTCTTTGAAATATTTCGATATATTAGGAGCGTTTCTACAGGATACGAACTTCTGGTAATAAATTGAATTCAATCTGTACATTTCAGACTTGATTAGGAGATTAATTCTTTTCACACCACGGTTATCCTTCATTTCATATAACTTTCCCTTTTCCCTACGAAGCTTTTCAAGTTGAGGGGAGGAGAAATGGCCAAATCTGATGAAAAGTGTTTCCTGGGACAAAAGTTGTCAGGACAGAATTTGAGATAACATGTAATATTTGAGATAGTGTCATCAAGGGAGTCTTCATTAAACAAATCCCACCTTATGCCTTTGAGCATGCTCCTAAGATACTGAACATTCTCCTTTAGAGAAACACCTGTACACAATTTTCTTGGACAGGTATGAGAAGTCTCTCTTGTGTAACTTTCCATAGATTTTGAGTAGAACCCGTGCAATACAATGATTGGAGTTAAACAGTGGGGCTCTTTTACGGACTTCGTATATTCTGGAATCATTTTTAAATACAAGATCAAGCGAAGTATCTAGTTGGGTGGGAAAGTTCACAACATTTTCATGACCTAGCACCGTAAGAAAACTGCAGTCAGAAGAATTAAAATCGCCAGTCACTGTGGACACTGAGTTACAAAAGAGGCGGTAGGAAAAACAGTGAATTCATCAGCACACATAGTTCTGAGGGACTACAACACGGTGTGACATAAATGTTCGTGATGCAAATAAAGTTGTAATTATACAGGTGTTTATGTCGACATTTAACGGTTTTCGTACCTGCAGATGTTCTTTTCTGGTAGTTTTGCTGCATAATGTTGTTTCGTCACAATCGGTGTTTATCTCGTTATAGTTATTAATGCATATAAGTGGCATTACTCGAAATCCTCCGCAATGCTGCCCATATATTTACTTCATGTTATCAACGAAATTCTGAAAGCCCTTCCTCAATGTTATGTTACTGAACAACCATTTACAGTTCTATGTATTTGTTAATGAGTCGCTGTTTTGTTTAAGGATTAGTTTATACTCCCCGGAGTTGTCCAAACCTCATTGTGTGGGGATGTATTTGAACCTCTAGTCTTCTGGTTGCATCCTCACTAATCTTCATCGAATTATTCTCTCTCCTATAAATCTGTGTTTCGTGTAGTTTCATTTCATTTCTTCTCTCCACTTTTTTTATACTTTTCTCCAAAGTGCAGCAACTTAAAGTAACGCCTTTGTGCGCAAAATTCTTGGGTTGGTAAGTCAGTTAGTCATACAAGTGTCAAGAATTTCTCTCAAATTTTCATTTTTCTGGGTGTTCGATGTTTTCATGTCTTTTGTGTCAAGTTTATGACTGCAGCTACCTATGATCATTGATACAGAAGTAGATATAGCTGGTCGATACCAACTATGGAGTAAAATGCACTCGCTTGATCTTCCGTATCGCTTATCTCAATCATCGAGATTCGCTCTTCGTTATATTTGAGTACACTTCTAGTTTCCCTAACCTTCCCTACTGTTGCTTTGGAATACCGTGTGGCTTAAAAAGATATCACCGATGTTTGATGAGAAATCACTGATATGTTTAAGCCCAATTCCTCGGAACATATCTTTCACTTAGCAGGCTGAGACATGTTTGTCATGTTATTCAAGGGCCGCGACGAAGTAACTAAGGCGGGACTTGAACCTGTAACCCATCGGGTTCTTAAGACATTGAGCCTCATCTGTGCAAAATCACTGGTAGTCTGTAGCTTTATATTCAGTATTAGGGACTGTTAAGCATAATAATACCATCTTTTGAGGTCGATTTCTTTGTCGACAGTGAGCCTACTTTGCTTAATAAATACCACTGTTTTATTGTGTTGGTCTACATTTTTCACACTGCCATTTTGCATGTCTGTTTCTGTTTTGTCTAATTCTCTTTCAATGGTTTGTGTACACTGCTTTTTTAAATAGTATTACGTAAATGGTGTCATTCTTGACATTTCATATGAGAACTCTAAGTAAATGATGTCTTGAAGTGACTTTAAAGTAGTAATAATAATAGTTACTATTATTACTTCTTGATCTTCGTATCATCAGTATTTGAATTTATGATTTTGTGTGGGCAGAACATTTGGGTTGTTCTTAACACAGTTTTCATAGTTTCACCGTGGTCTGCCTAAGAGTCCTCCCATATTTCTTAGCCTTGTTTAATATTAATCTCTCACTAATTATAATTTTCCATTTTCTCCTCTTCCTCCCCTCGCCAATGAACACTTTTAATAGTGGATTGGATTTGACGTCACAAGTACTCGAGAAACAGCCTAACGATAAATTCATATATGACTTAGTAGCTGTGAGCAATCATATGGGATATTTAGGTGGTGGTCATTACACAGCGTTCGCTTTAAATGCTCATGTCAATCGATGGTACTACTTTGATGATTCTTCTACACGGGAAGTTGATCCATCTAAAATTGTAGTAAGTTATAGTTTTTTCTTTTTGTTTGAAAGTCACAACTAACACATTGTTAGCTGACTTAATTGTTCAGATGTCTCATTATTGTGATTATTATTGTTATTATTTTCCACTGTAACACGTGGATGTACTACTTTCCAACCTGTATCCTAAAACATCTTAACTTTTGCAATAGATTTTTGCAGTGACCAACAGAATGATGCATTTTCTAGTGGTATAAAATGTTCTACAATAAAAGTCTACGATAATATCATATCGCAGTGGTTACGTAGATCTAATTCACTCAACACATGGGTTATTTATTTATTTAATTAAACACAATAACTTGATACAATATGGCACCAAGAAGATGCGCCACCTAATAATAATAATCAAACAACATTGGAGATTGAAAGTAAAAATATAGGTAGAGAACGGATAAAGTACTTCATCTGGGAGGAAACCAGTCGTATTTAACAAGTTCAAACAGCATTCGTCAATTATCATCGGAAAGAGAAGAAAGAATGGAAATGCAGCACGTTCGCTATTGATTGAGACTCTTGGCCATTTTTTTTTCATTTTTTATTTTATTATAGCTTGATTCCACAGCGTATTTTTGGTGCAAGTATGGAATTTTCAGCATGTGATATCGGTAGCCCAAATTTAGCAGGCCGACCATAGATATCAGGTGTGCGTCGGAGTGGGGTCGAACCTCGGACCATGTGCATGGTCGGCGAGAGTCCTAACCACTGTGCTACCGACGCCATATCCGATAACTTTTCGAGCTATCTCTTGGACTCCAACTAGGAAATCGTGACTCACCATCCCAAGTCGCCATGTCATGTCTGACTACCTCTCCGCTTTCTTCATCCCGTCCCAGGGCTAGGGAACAAAGTTTTGTACGGAAGCCTGGGGGGTCCAGGCAAGTAATGCAGCTTCGGCTCCAGCACTTACTACGACACCGACAACAGTTACGCTGGATGCCGACGCCACACGGTCCCCGGATAAGCGAAGGTGGTACATACTATTCGAAATTTCAGCTGGAGAAAATAGTTGAAGCACTTCAATGCGGGTCTCCGAAACGCAGTAGACATCGGTAGCTAGCCTTCCCAATGCTCTTACCAAACCTGTCTGTTGTCCGATTTGCATCAACGTCCGAACATTGTAGGTGGCCACCTTGAACGCAGCACGAGGTTTCAGGATACCTGTGTTAGATGTTGCATTGGGGACCACCATTTCGAAGGTTGTTCACTGATATCTCGAAACAGCACAGATGGTTTGAGAATTGGGACAAAGGCGGAGGAGTGATGGAAATGAAGACGCCAAGGATAACAAGATTAAAAAACAAAAGCGTTTGTATAAAAATAAGGTCAAAAAGAAATGCATCACTTGAAATATCATTAGTTTGTTTGAGAGTATTGTAAACAGCGTGCGATTAATTCCATTGATAGATCGCTGTTTCATTTGATTGATTGTGTATTCAAGCCCGACCACCACGACAAGGTAGCAGTTGTCGGCCGAACACATGAAACGTGGAACCTGGTCAGCAACTTGTGTAAATGTACAATAATCACTCAGGATTTCACAATGAACAATTACACCACATCACGCTATTTGCAATGTTTTCAAAAATCACTTAGATATTTTTGTTATTAGAAGGCTATAATTCTCAAAATAAATTCAAGAATACCTTTCATTTGATAGAGATGAGTCTTATATAGATACTGGATATTAGTTGTCATTGTTCCAATGAACTTATATGAAACTAGTCATTCAATGTTCATAATATCATAATAGTTGACGATGCTGATCCACACTGATTGCTGGTATAGTCATAGACATTGCATCGTATTGATACATTGCTTGTTTAAATAGTCTTGGCAAGTAGAGTAAAACAGTTCTTCTAAAATACACCATAGTATTAACACTAACTTAAATCAAATATTGTTGATAATCTATGTGTTGAGACCGAAGTGAAGGTTTCATCTCATTACCTGCAGTGTTGATGTATGGCAATTTCAGCAGCTATTATTAATAAGATGACATTTTTGGGTAACACAAGTCATTTTTTAGTTTTATTGAATTTTATTGAAATATTATTATAGTAACTCTAAACGAAACCAACTGATGAATGGACTAATGACCTTGAGCAACCAGTCAAATGAGTCCGTAGTATTTTAAAGGAAATTATGGGCGCCGTACACGAATTAAGTAGCAAATTTCTTTTAAATCTAGTATGTAAGTACTGCTTAGACAACAGGCTCATTGGAAGGAAGAAAACGTGTAGGCAACTGTCATCTCTGGACTATATTCATGGACAATTTTGTTAATCCTTTCGATGGGACTCACACAAGTTCTTTCGAAAGTCTCTAGAATCACTTTAAAAAAAGACCAGAGGGGTGAATGAGTCGATAAACGCGATGATTTGCAGTTACCTCGACGAATGTATACGCAGAAATTGCTTTAACCTAACTATGAGGACTCCTATGAAAAATTGGGAGGTATCCTTGGAATAGATATAAGGACGTTATTCCATGTAACTACTTTTTAATATCGCTTTACTTTTATATAAACTTTTTTTAAAATTACGCATCTGACTGGTCGATGGAGATTCGTCAAGGTTTTTATTAAGTAGTTTCGTTTTGGGATGCTTTAGTCTAAAGTCATTATTATTATTATTATTATTATTATTAATGCAAACAAGTGAGTAATTCTTACAAGTCCGTACTTTTTGCGCTTGGTTAAATGCAAGACAACAGCTGTGGAAAAAAACAGTATTTACTGAATCCGTAAATTTCTGTGAGATTCGTCAGTTGAATACCCTCTTCTTCAAGTTTTGCACCTTAATGGTGCAGTTGATCGTCAACCCAATTGTTCAGTCCATTATGTAAACATGTGTAATACATCAAGAAGTTCTGACGATTAGTCATTTGTGCATCACAACTGTTATATGTCTAGTTCCAAAGTACTTAAAAGGATGTCAGCAAGTTCGAGGGTATTGTATTCAAGAAATTAGTCTAATTTTTACTATGACAAACGTTTTTAGTAATGTAAATTTTTTACAATCTGTCACTGAATCCTTCTTTTTTATAGACTAATGCAGCTTACGTGTTGGTGTATGTTCGCCGTCGAGTTGGTCACATGTTGTTAATGTACAGTGAGAACAAAAGTAATGACCAAGAACAAGAAGATTCCTCATCTGAAACAGATGAAAATAGTCTTTCAAATAGTAGTCTATCTCCAGATCAATATCCAACTACTAAAGCTTATATTCATGACAACCGAGCGAGAAATGCTAATTCATCCTTAAATCTGCAAGATCAAGATTTGATGGAGATTGAGTGAATAAGATGCCCTTGAGTCTTCTTACAGTTCAACAACTCCCCTGACCTAATTATATTCGTCATGCCATTTCGCTTCAAAAGAAACTTTAGTCGATATCATTCTGATTATAATGTTTATTCAATGGTTCTTTTATTCGATAAATCAAGCTCTTTCGAATTTTACAGTTATGTGACAGACCTTCAAACATAATGTTCTTATGGTTAATGTGGTCTGATTTTGCTCTCCTTGTTCTCCTTATTACCTTATAATGCTCCTAGCTCAGTTTGACTATTTATTTTGGTCACAAATGCGGGTTTTCTTTGCGATTCGCTTCTCGTCCCACTAGATGTATATTCACTTCGTAATAAATATATGAATGGATGAAATTTATTTTCGCTTTGTGTTTACACCTTGACTAGGTTAACTTTGACAGTAATGTTTATTCATTCTAACCATAAAAATAAGTGAATACGCAGCATATTTTGGTCAAAACAACTGCTGTACATGTTATACAGTGATTCTAAACTACGATATAACAATTGAAGTGGAACGGAACGAACTGTGAACTATTCAAGAAAGCATAACGATAGGGTAGCAGCTGTCTTCGATTCAGAGCCACAGATTCTAATACCCGAACTGCATCCAGTGCATATTTCAAACATATGCTTCATTAACCTTACTTACTACGACTGATTAGTTCAAGTCAGCTGAAAGATTGTCGTCTGTCATATGAATACTATGAACAGTCGGACAGAACCACTTAGCTGATTCTCGCGTATATGCATATATAGCCCGTGTACAACCAGAAACTTATTGGGGGTTGGGAGTAAGGTGTCGTCAGTTTCTATGGAATTCACGTTGATGCTACCAAGTCCATTATTTTCAAACTATTCTCTGAAGACAGTTAAGTATATCTAGTAGAGACCTTATCTAGTGATAAGATACTCTGTCGTAGCACATGTTTGAAACTCATTTATAGGTGATAGGGTACATGCAGACTACAAAGTTGATGTCATTATTTGCAAATTATGGGTAGACAGTTTCCTGCATCATTCAGTTACATAATAATTTCTTGATACGACCTAAACATTCCTCGTGGATTCGTCACTCACATTAATTTGTTCCTGTACTGTTTTTAACTATATATATTCCGCTAGGAGTGATCATACTCTTAAGGTCATCCGTATTCGATCAACTACCAAAACTATTCAGCTCGTACCATTTTGGCCAGATAATGTAAAATCATGGTTTCCGATAGCCGACTCTGATTTCTGTGAACATGGGTTAACTGACCAACGTTCACAGTTCGTTGCAGTTGTCCACGCCCTACCGCGGGAATTCAGTAAATGCGTATGTGAAGTCCAGAGGTAAGTAACTCGTATGAGTTGCTTAAAGCAACCCTCCTAAAGAGAAACGGCCTCACAGATTGACAGCATCTTGACGAACTATTTCGCAACGTGGAGTTAGGTGATCAGTCGGCTATGAACATGCGAACAAGAATGAGGAAAGTTATCAACCAACGTCAGTTCGATGAGGGACATTACAGAAAACTGTTCTTACCCAAACTGCCACAGGCTCTGCTGTTGACACTTAAGGGTGTCATTATAAACGATTTAGCTGCTTCTGCGGATAAAATTCTAGAATTAACAAAAAGGCCAGTCACGGAAATATGCTCATTTGTTGAACAAACTTTGAGTAGCGATACTGCAGTGATAGAGTTATGTAACTCCATCCAGCAACTACTTATGTCAAACAATCCTCGTGATTCCTCCTATCGTTGTCCGAATTCCCCTCAATGGCAAAACCCACGTGGTCGGTCAAAATCAAAGCCACGTTCACTTAATAACCCTGACTGCTGTTGGTATCACAATACCTATGGCCAGGAAGCGAAATGTTGCCGAAAACCTAGTAATTTCGGCAATGTCTCAAAGAATGTGGGAAACTATCCCGCCGGCACGCGTTAGCGGCAACCGTCGCTAGTGGCAATAGCCACCTACTTTCCACTCGTGATATGGTCAGCCAGACCCGATACTTAGTCGACACAGCAGTAGATCGACAGAAGGAATCTACCTTCAACTTGCAGGCTGCGAACGGAAAACCAGTTGTAACATTTGGTAGGAAAAGCAACTATGTGAACGTAGGCTTACGCAAACCTATTCAGTGGATTTTCCTTCTCACTGACGTTACAATGCCCATCATTGGCATGGACCTACTTAATCATCATGATTTACTCGTAGACGCCCGTCGGAAACGACTGATAGACGGTACCACTAGATTGTCTATCATAGGCATCAACTACGCAGGCCCCAGCTTGTCACTCATTAAGAAGAAGGAAATCCTTGATTCAACTTTCCATCCGATTGTTGATGAGCACCCGGAACTTAACTGCCCGTCTAACGATCTACCGTGCATAACCAGCAATGTTATGCATCACATCATAACCTCAGGACAACCCGTCACATCTAAAGCACGACGACTTGCTCTGAACAAACAACGACTGGCTAGAAATGAGTTCGACCATATGCTCACCCTTGACATCATTCGGCCATCGAATAGCCCATGGGCATCCCCACTGCATATGATACCGAAAAAAGGATAGCGTCGATTGGCGACCCACTGGTGATTACCAGTGAGTGAATACCAAAATAACCTCTAATCGCTACCCATTGCCCCACATACACGACTTGACGGCAACATTATCTGGCGCAACTATATTCTCTAAAATCGACTTGGTTAGAGCGCATAACCAAACCCCGATGGCACCAGATGACATTCCGAAAACGGCTATCACTACGCCTTTTGGACATTTTGAATTTCTACGTATGCCATTCGGTCTCCGGAATGCAGCACAAACATTACAACGCTTCATTGACGAAGTATTTCGCGGTCTCGACTCTGTATACGCATACTTAGATGACTACCATTACTGTCAGTCCGGACAAATAAACTCACTTCAGACACTTGGACTAGGCATTCGAAAGGTTACGCCGACATGGTGTTACCATTAATATTGAAAAGTGTCAGATAGGCGTTTACTCACTCGACTTTCTCAGCCACACCACTGACTGCAAGAGTGTCCGTCCACTGGCTAGTAAAGTTGAGGCGATACAGAAGTTTCCGGAGCCACACACAGTGAAAAGTCTGCGCACTTTTAACGTCTTGGTGAGTTATTATCGACGATTTATTCCCAACTGTGCCTTTCTGATTCAGCCACTAACAGACCTTCTTCGAGGGAATAACAAGTCTATCGAACTCGACGCGTCTGCTCAAAATGCTTTCACCCAGGTTAAGAAAGCTATTGCGGATGCCACCCTTCTTACGTATCAGGATCCAATGGTACCGTTAAGTATCTCAGTTGATGCACCAGACACTGCGATCGGCGCAGTTCTGCAACAACTAGTCAACAGAAAGTGGCAACCACTCGCCTTTTTCTCGAGGTGTCTACAATTAGCAGAAACGAAGTACAGCAGAGAACTTCTGGCTATGTACTGTGCTGTACTTCATTTTCGACATTCAGTGGAGGGTCGTGAATTTATCATTTTCACTGACCACAAACCTCTGACGTACTCTCTGAACTCAACTTCAGATAAGTATTCACCTAGAGAATCACGGCAACTGGACTACGTTTCACAGTTTACATCGGATATTCGCCATGTATCCGGAGTGAACAACACTGTGGCAGATACCTTGCCGCGCATTTGTTCCTTCACCCAAATACATGGCGTAGACCTTGTGAAACTGGCTCGTCTTCAAAAAGAAGATACCGAGCACCAACATGAGTTGTTGAAGTTGTAAGGGAATGGGCACACACGTGCTCAGCTTGCCAAAAGTGCAAGGTGGTAGGAAACACCAAAAGTCGCCTTCTTTTTACATCTTTCTCATCCCTGATGCTCATTTCGAACACGTTCATATAGATTTGGTTGAACCCCTTCCAGAATCTCATGGATACACCTATAACTTAACCTGAATCAACCATTTCACACGATGGCCCGAAGCATTACCCCTCAAGAATGCATCTGCTGAAACAGTCGCACGCGTCTTTGTCGAACGATGGATCGCAAATATCGGATGTCCATCCTCCATAACAACTGATCGCGGGTAGCAATTCGAAAGCGGCTTATTCTTTGTCTTGACTAAAATCACGGGTTGTATGCGTTTTAGAACAACAGCCTACTATCCTCAAGCTAATGGTATGGTAGAACGTCTACACTGGCTGGGTTGTCGGCTGCAAACAGCGCACACTGGATTGAATCACTTCCGTTTGTTCTCTTAGGCATACGAAATGCCTTGAAAACTGATGCTGTTTATACTGCTTCTGAGCTAGTATATGGCACAACAATACGACTGCCGGATGAGTTTGTTTCTCCCGCGAGCTTCCCACCAGCGGCAGATTATGCCTCATACGTCAGCAAACTTACAAACACAATGCGTTCAGTTAAACCTTCTCCCCTCCGACCACAGTCCTTAGGCGTCTTTGTTCATCCGTGTTTGAAAACTTCCAAACATGTGTTTGTTAGTGACTCTGTGCGTCGCACTCTGGGACCCCCATACAACGGACCATATAAAGTCATTAAACTTATGGATAAATTCCTCGTCATAGACAAAACGGCCGCGAAGACACCGTTAGCACCGACCGTCTGAAACCGGCCTATTCAAGAGGCAATCCCATGAGCCTTGAACTTAGCATTCCCACTAATCCACAAGTAACTTATATCCGTTAGTCCCCGGAGAAATCACTAGCACGGCGAAAGCCACCGGACCTCCTGTCGAGCCCTCAAAGAAAACGCTTTCTGGACGAAACGTGAGATTCCCAGAACGTCTTCACACTTATTTTACATAACTATGTGACGCGATTCACCCAACTTTCATTCGCTTGTGGTAATTATGTTTTTTTCCCTAAGACACATCAGTCTTTTATATTGCATCTCGTAACACAAGTAAAAGACCTTTTTATAACCGTACGTGTTATATCCACTAAATATTATTTTTTGATCTATTTTTCACATTATTTTTCTGTATGG